GCTCCTCCTGCCTGCCTAAGTGCTACTTGGGTTCTACAGGCAGGGCTGCCTTGAGCCTGGCCCCTGCGTCTCCAGTATTTTGAAAGGCACACCTCACCTGTCTCTAAGGGCCAAGATGTTGTATATTTTGATCAACTACCAATTCCTTTCCACAAAATTAGAGGCTACACACAGGTTTAACAGAATACGTGGCAAGATCTGCAACCAGGGAAGCCCCTCTGGGTTCCCACAGGGACCTCCTCATCTACTTATGCTCCCTCTTGTCACTAGCCCTCACCTCCCTGCCTGGCTTAGATTCTGGGGCCAACCATTGTTTTCACTCCCTTGCATACGCCACTAGCCCACCAGAAGTCTGCACCTTCAATGGGCCAACCCACCACCCTGGCTCCCTTTCCACCCGCTCTGCACCTGCAGCCAGTCGGCGAATTGTGGCTGGAGAAAAACTCAGCCCAGCATGCTCGCTGGTCCCACGCATTCCCCGCAGCACGTATCACCTGCTCACGCACTGGCTATTTTACTTGTTTATTATATTAATGGTTTATCATCATTACATCATATGTCCGTTCCAGGAGGGCATGAGTCTTTGTCTATCTAATTCAAGCACTGGGCACAGGGCCTGGCACACAGCAGGTGCTCAATAAATCTACTGGTGAATGGTGTGCTCTCAAGCATACCGTTGGACAGGGCACACTCTGTGTGTTTAAGATGGGGCCAGAAGGAGAAGCTACAGTAATGACTGGGCAGGACTGCTTATAGTCCTGGGATGGATCCGTCCTCTTTTCTTATTCACAGCTAACCTGTTCCAATGTCCTGTGGCCACCCATGTCCAAAAGACAGCTATGATATAGCCCCATATCTATCTACAAAGTCTATGTTTTAACTGTCAAGCTACCTCTCAGCCTCTTGCCCATGGCTATACTCCGCCCTACCCATCTCCATCTCTCCCTGGATCTACTCGGTCTCCTGGCTTCCAGACTTGTCTTCTGGAATCCAGTCCACCCACAGCCCTGAGACAGGAGGGAAGGGGGCAGGGCACAACCATTAAAAGAATGACATAGCCATTGAGGATGGGACAAGTACTGGTTAGAACAACTAGGCCCAAGATGACAGAAGATTCCACTCCCAGGAGACCTTGCGCTTCATCACTGGCTCATTGTAATACATTAGCTGCTAAGTGGCCCCCCCACAGGCGCCACGACAGTTCGAGGATGACCATAAAATGCCAAAAAGCGGGCAGTGGCCCAATTCCTAAAAATCCCTGCACTTTCCCTAAAATAGTTGGAGTAATCCTCCCACTTGTTAGCCTATGAAATCACCCAGCCCATAAAAACTAACGACCTCACGCCTCGGGGCTGCTCTCTGGCCCTCTGAGACAGCCCACACCCCATCTGCGGAGTGTGTGTCTCCCTGGATAAACCTCCTGTCACTTCACTATCGTTCGCTCCTGAATTCTTCCCTGCTCAAAGCCAAGGACCCTCACTTGACTCGCCCGAGACCTGGGACACGCCCATCCTCTCGAGCCCTATTTTCCTGCAAAACCACCGGGCAAGTCCTAACCTGCTTCCTTCTCAGTCCTCCCTGGTAGCCCAGACAGTGTGTGCAGACCTGGGTTACAGCAAGGATGACATCCCTGACACCACCCAGGTCAGGGCTGTGTCCCCGGGTGGCCCTTTAGGCCCTTGAGGAAGAAGCTGAGTTTCTTTCATTCATCCCCGTGTCCCCAGGGCTGAACACGAAAGAGGCACCAGGAACTGATGGTTGAATGAAATGAAACATAACCCCTTACACAGCTGCAGGGCCGTGGTTTTTAAAGGGCCCCGGCATTCACGGTGTCACTGAATCCTCAAAACAGCCCAGGGAGATAAATCGGCCGGGGTTACCGTCTGCACCCTGGTCCTAGGATGAGGAAACTGGGGCTCTGGGTGGGTTGGTAGCCACTGTTCCAAGGCTGCAGCCCGAGGGCAGGGCCAGGCCTCAGAGGCCTGAACAGGAGCCCCAGCTCTGCTGCTGCCAGGGACCTCGGGCCCGCCTATCTCCTGAGCCTGTGTTTCCTCATCTGCAAAATGGGGTAATGGTACCATTGCTGCTGCTTTGCTTTCGTGCCGTCGGGAGCACCAAGGGAGACTGTGAACAGTGTGGATGAAAATTGTTGCCTGCCGCATCAGTAAACAAAGGATGTCGCAGCCATCAAGCCACTGAAGCCGCCCCCTTCCCACCCCATGGCGAGCCCCGAGGGAGCTCAGGATGGAGACAGATGCCCGTGGCCAAGCCCTCAGCCCAGGGGACTCAGAATAGGAAAGAACAGGACACTGGCCCCGCACAGCTGAGGCGCACATCAAAGGAACGATTCCAATGAGCCCAGACTCTTGCATCTTCCCATACACAGAAAAGCGCTAAATTCATTAACTTGAGATGCCTGGTTTTCTCTAATTAACAGTAATCTTTTGATGTTCCTTCTACCTGGTTTTTGTTGTAAAACTCCTACGTATCCTGGCTCCTCCCTTACCTCTTCGGAGCAGCCCCTCTGAGTGCTCTCAGCAGCTGCTTCCTGGGGCTTGAAATCCTCAGGAAGTCTGCCGAAAAGATGTAATTCTCAACTTTTAGGTTGCGCATTGTTTTTCAGTTGACAATGGGAAGCTGCTCTGTAAACTGTAGAGTGCTGTGAGGGAAGCTGAGGCCGGCTGGCCGCCGTCCAGTGAGTCCCACACCTGCCCCATTTGCAGCCCTGGGGCTCCTGTGTGGCTCCTCACTGTATTCTGCTGGAAGCCGGTCAGCACCTCAGACACGGCAGAGAATGCCTGTCTGTGCCCCACACCACGAGGGCCCCCAGCTCCTGGGCAGTGCCTGTTTCTCCTGAGATCACCCCTTGCACCTTCAGTGGGGGGTGGAGTGGACCCCCTCCGGCACCAGGGAAGGGCCTGACCAACCAGAACATTGCACCCCCACAGTAATGGGTGCAGGGGTGCCCCTGAGGCCCAATTAGAGCTTGTAGGGTGCTCGTGGGGACAGTTCAGAGAGAGCTGGTCTCTTTCCTCTAGTACGTTATTCTGGGAGGGTGGGGCCTGAACTGCTGGTGTCAACTCACCGCCATGTGGAGGCTGAAGCCAGAGCAGAGAGTAGAAGCAAGAAGCAGAGAGAGCCAACTGAGGACACCATCTGAGCCCCTGGATCCACCTGTATCTGCAGCTCTCTTGCCTTCATAAGTCAGTAAATGTGTGTGTTTTGCCTGAGCCAGGTGGAGGGAGGTGTTCTGACCCTTGACTAACTAGTGCCTAAGCAGGGGTGGGACCTGCTGGGGTTTCAGCCTGAATGGACGAACGGCCCGGCAGATGCCCAGCCCAGCCCTCTCCATCCAGCCAGACTGAGCTTCCATCCCTTGAAGCAGCTCCAGCCCCAGCTCCTCCTGGAACATTCCTGACCACCCCAATCCACATCCACCCTGCCAGCACTGAGCACTGGGGAGGAGGGAGGAGACAGGGGCTAATGTTTCTTTACACTCTTTAGGAACAGGCCTGGGGTTGGTGCATCTCAGAGGGACTCACTGAACACAGGCTGCTGTCCTGCTGCGGTCCTGTGGGGGAGAGGCTGGTGAGGAGACAAGGGCTCAGAGGAGTGCAGTGACTTGCCAAGGTCACAGAGCTTAAGGCGGCAAAGGCAGACTCCCAGCCACTCTCACTGTCCCTGAAACCCAGGTGTTTGCCACTCACCCCCTGGCTGGACTCAGGGAACATCGTTACCTGCTCTCAGTCCCTCCCAGCTCCTGTCCTCCCAGCTCCAAGGCTTCCCTGCCCCGGTCTCCAGCCATTTCCTGGCTTTCAGCAACTTGTCATTCCTTCTCTTCTCTGAACACCCCAGACTGGCTCCCTCCTCCTCCCTAACTCCCTCCCCACCAATCTGGCCTCTGCTCCAAGGGACACAGTTGGCTCCTGACCTGTGAGGCAGCAGCAGAGCAGCGCGGCCCCTGTGCTGGGAGCCGTGTGACCTCAATTCCTGGTGCCCAGGGCTGACAGCACCCAACGCCAAGTGGATGTTCGGGGACAGCTCTCAGGGTCCTCCTCTCTTTCCACCACTGTCTGGGTGGCATCCTTCACGAAGGGCAGTTTGGTGGGAAGATTGGAAATGGGGACTCAGGACTGGAGGGCCACTGGCTGCATGAGCTTTGAGCAAGTTAACTGGGGCTCTCTCCGCAACTCGGCTTCCTCATCGTAAAGGAGGATCATGACAGTACTGCCTCCCACGGGCGCCATGGGGATGAAGCGCGTGCACGCCAGCACACGGTAACATCAGGCACGGAGCCTCACTGTGCATTGTTACTGCTATTAGTCTGCAGGGTAGTGACACCTTGGTAACCTGCCTACCCTCTTCACTGCAGCCCCCGCGGGGCCAAGCCTCCACCCCTCCCTAGGCCCATGTTCACGTATCAACAGTTCTTTCTCAACAGTCGGTGGGGGCTGGAGTCAGTCTATAATCCTATTGTCCCAGTTTGTCCAGAAACAGGGGGCCACAAGCAGGGTCCTTCACCTTGACCCCCTCCAGCTGGGCTTCTGACACCCCAGTTATCTCTCTAAGCCCAGGGGGAGACCCCAAAGCTGTCTGTCAAACACTGATGCACCTGCCTCGGACCCAGGGAAGAGGGTCTAGAGAAGCCCTCAGTGGACTGTCTCAGGGCCATCGGCCATCCCTTGTCCAGGAGGGCTCATCCAGGACTCCGTCTCCTCCCCAGTCCCTAGTAGGGGCCCTGGATGACAGGATCACGGCCACCCTGGAGGAGGCAAAGGGTCAAATGTAATGCTCAGCAGCCACGGTTTTAAAGTTTTCATAAATAAACTCACCATGATTCCAAGTCATTCACACACCGTGAGCCAGAAGGCACCTCACTGAAGAAGTCGGACAACACAGAAGCCCTCAGGCCAGCTGGCCTACAACTCGGCCAGCTGAGCTCCAACCCGGGAGCCGGCCTGCCTGCGAGTGGACAGCGGGGCTACGGCAGGAAAGGATACTGAAGCTCCGGTCGGTGATGGCCAGGTGCCAGAGGTTGATGCGCAGGTCGTCCGCGGACATGTACGTCTCGCAGTCGCTGTTGACGGAGATGGAGTTGATGTGGTAGGTGTGGCCATTGGCGAAGACCCTCCGTGGGCTCACCTCCACCATCAGGTCCATGGGCTTCAGCACAGGCACCTGCAGAGCAGGAGAGGTAGTCAGGGCTAGGTAGACGTGACGGGGCAGGAGTGCAGGGGGCAGGCCACTGGCAGGGTGGCTGCAGTAAGAAACACCCAGGGCTGCACGATCAGAACAGGATACCAGGAGGGCAGTGGGCGTCTGTCCCTGCATGTGTCGGAAATAAGCAGTGCCACACAGTGTGTCCATCACCACCAGCCCTGCAGGAAAGCCTGCCTCCTTTGCTTGGCCTCCTGGGATTTGTTCTGAGCCTGCTGTGTGACTTTGGATAAGTGGCTGAACCCCTCTGCACCCCAATTTCCTCATTTCTAAAATGGAAGAAGATACTGTGGCAGTTAGACTGTCCACCAAACATTTGTGTCTCCTCATCTCGGGGAAGTGGCTGCCCAGGCAGGAACTACATTTCCCAGCTGCCCTTGCAGCTGGGTGTGGCCACATGACTGATCTGACCAATGGGGCATGAGCACAGTAGGGCCTGGCACTTGGAGGCCCAAGTGGTTAAGAGGCAGGTGTGCCTTCTCTGCCCCTTTCCCCGTCCACAGCAGGACGGTGAGGACCCAGGCTGCAGGGACGGAGGCACGGGGTGGAAGGAGGCTGTGCCCTCACGGGAGAGCTGTGTGTGCCTCAGGACGCCCACCTGGCGCGTTCTGCCAGTGAGGGTTACATCTCTGTGCGCTCTGCCTGGAACACTGGGGTCATTTCCTACAGCTGCTGGGGTCAGTCCGACTCCTACCTCAGAGGGCTAGTGTGCGAAGCCCCGGAGACAGCGTCCGGTAGCACGACTGTGCTTCCGTCCGTGCCCCCTGCCCAGAACGCTCACCCGCTTGGGACACCTGGTGAGCCTCAGTTCCTCCTAAGAGAGCTGCCGCCTGCCTGGTAGGGGTGTCACAGCCCTGTTCATCCCCAGCACGCCACACACATCTCCATCAGGGCTCTCGGCAGGCTCTGCGGGGTGTGCTGGGCAGGACGCCTCGTTCCAGCAAACTGTGAGGTCCTCTAAGGTACAGACAGACATGGCCCAGAGTTGAGGGTAGGAAATGGGGGCAGGTCATCCCCATGTCACCGATGAGAAGACAGGATGCGAAGGCGAACCTGACTTCCTAAGTCACAGTCAGGAAATGACAGACCCCGACCAGAACCAGGTGTGATGCCCCCGAGGGTATCACAGTGCAAAGGTGTAGACCTGAAACCTGACTGCCGCTTCAGTCCTGCCCTGCCACTTACTACTGTCACCTCCACAGGGGCTTCACCTCCCTGGGACTCAGTTTCCTTATCTGTAACGGTTAATGCTGGTGCCTGCTCAGGGCCCTTCTGTGAGGATTCCACAGTCAAGTGCTCCTGGAATAACACTTGGTACAGAGGGGAGGGGACTACAGGTGGCTGGACCAGGGCTCACACTGCCATACAGTGTCTGGGGTGGGCACTAGGTGGGGATGGTGCAGGGGCGATGGGAACTGTGCCAAGGAGAGAGGCAGTGAGGTCGGAGAGGAAGGAGGGCAGATTTTGGTGACAGGTAGTCCAGCCCTTTGCCAGGTGACTGCGGGGCTCCTGTGCCCCAGGCAGCAATCACCAGGTAGACCTGCATGAGTCCAATCAGGACTGGGTGAGGGCAGGTGATGGGGGTCCCACTGCTTGCTCTCAAGTGGGAGAGGAACAATACACTGACACACGAGTGTGTGTGTGTGGTTTCAGGCAGCAGTAGGTGCTAAGGAGAAAAATAAAACAGGTGAGGGGACCGAGTGACAGGGCAGCAGGCTGAAAGGGTGACTGGGAGGTGGCGTACGAGAAGAGATTGAAACAGGCTGTGTGGGCTGGGCTCGGGCTGATGTGGGATCTAAGAGAACCTCCTTCTCTCAGGGGACCTCTCCCCACCCCCTCCCAACTCTCAGGCTGGGCCCGGGGCTCCCCTGGGCTCCCCGGCCCTGTAAGTCCCTCATCACAGCCCTGTCCACATTATGAGTTGTCGTTTGTTTGGTTTGTTTCCCCAGTGGACTGGGAACCAGCTGGGGACGAGGCGTGTTTTTCCGTGTTCATCTCTGCATCTCCAGTACTCAGCCCAGGGCTGAGTCCTCAGACAGGTCCTCAGGTGAAGGGATGAACGAGCTGGTCTCAAGCGCCCTGGGGGCCAGCTGAGATGGGAGGTGACGGCTTTGATGCTGCTGGGGGGTGGGCAAGCACAAAGGCAGCTCTGCAGACCTTATCAGAGGTTCTCTGTACCGGGGCACCGAGCGTGACCACGTGTGAGTGTGTGAGCCTGGGTATGCGTGCACGAGTGTGGGTGAGTGTGACCGTGCACACACGTGTGTGCATCGGTGCGCATGTCTGTCTGGCTCTGGATGGTCCTTGTGTTGAGTCTCTGTGCTTCCAGACTGTGTGCCCAGGAGTCAGTGTTGCTGTGTCTGGCCCATCTAGGGGACCCTCTGCCCAGCGCGTGCCCCCAGGTGTGAGACAGTCTGAGGCAGTTCCTGTCCCTTCCTGTCCCTCAGGGCGCAGCCACCCGCTGCCCTGAGGATCCTTGGACTCTTTCTTCTCACCACGCCTGCTCCTGGAGGTCAGAGAGCGTCCTAGGCCCAGCAAAGCCTGGGCATCTCAGGCTGCCTCCCTCTCCTTCCAGCAACACTGTTTTCCCCGCGGCCTCAGAATAGTTCACTCAGTGCTCCAGCCACTCACTGCCACGCCAGGCCATGCTTCAAAGCCATTAAACAGAGAGAGGAGAGGAAGAGGGAGGAGAAGCCTGCCCTGAAGGTTTGGAGGTTTCATGAATAAATCTTTCCCTCCACTAGCTCTTCTGGGAGGCACAGTCTAGTCAAGGTGCGGGGCAGGAGGACAGACACATGACACTAAGCACAGAGAAGTACGGGATACAAAAGGCTAGAGTGGACAGAGAAGGATAAGGATTCATCTGGCTCATGTAGAAAAGGCTTTACAGGGTGGAGGCTGATAGGGTTTTAAAGGCTGAATAGGAGTTCACCAAACAGACAAGGTAGAGAACAGTCTCTTTGTGTGTCCCTTTGTCACAGTGCTGACCTCCAGGGTAGGAGTGACTTCATGTCTACTTCCTTGGGGGGCTGGCTAGACTTTGGGGGGGGTGGGCACTCAGTCTGATCTTGCTCAGCTCTGGGCCCCAGAGACCTAGCACAGGGCCTGGCACCGAGCAGGTTTTCACTATGTAATAGCTGCCTCCAGCATGAACAGCACAGATTAGGTAGAAAACTGCACAGGGTTGGGGAGGCTTGGGTGAAATGGGGGGAAAGACAAGGCTCTCATGTTCTTTCTCATTTTCTTCCCCTCCAGCTTCAGTTTACAGTTAAATGCCATCTTGGGATGTGTGTGTGACATACAGAGAAAAATCTCAGACTCTGAGAGGGAAATAACGGGAGTCTCATGGGCCACTGGCTCTGCCGCTAACGCCACGCCAATCAGGAGGTGATAATTGCATCCCTCCCAGCAGATGAAACCCTCATAAACGTTCTTGGGGCTCCAGGTGGGGGTGTGTGAAGTGGGGGGCACCATCACTCCTGTGACTCAGCGTCGAAGCTAATTGGCTTCCATGTGTTCTCAGAATTTATTCGTGCAATTTGCCAGTCATTTAGGGACCAACGTGTTTAAACACTTATTCCTCCTTCTGGGAACGCCACTGATTACCGCTTCGTGTGTGTGACAACTCGCTGGTTGCTTAGTGCGGGTGCCTGCCGAATTGTTGCAGAAAAAGCCAGTCATTGTCTCCAGTTTGCTGGTGAGGAGACTGAGGCATGGAGCAGGGAGACGCCCACGGCCACCTGACCGGCAGTGGGTGGATCTGTGAGCAGTCTGGGAGCCTGGAGAGGCACTAGCACCGCCCCCGAAGCGGACAGCACACACACACACACAGCTAAGGCACAGACCCGGGGAACAGCTTTCCCTGACGTGAACCCAGCCCTTTCAGATTGGCTGGAATGTGGAAACTGGAGCCGAAGAGACCAGTCACCTCCCGATGCTCCTTCATGGGAGGCTGAGGCCCCTCCCTGAGCAGGGCCTGTCGCGGGCTTACAGCAGGTCCGCCCTGGGCTCTGCATTCACTGTAGCCTCTCGGTACCTAGACCAGGGCCGGGGCACAGCAGGTGCTCAGTAAGCGTGTGCTGAATGGATGCATCCACCTGTCCTCACCTCCAGCAAACACGTGGGGGGCTGAAAGCACCCCCCAACCCTGCCCTGTTCCAGGCACGGTTCTGGAAGCCAGGGACAGACAAGGTGGTCTCAGTGCGCTTCCAGAAGGGTGCCACTAACCATCCCTGCAGCTCCCCTGGGAGGCAGGGACCTCATTTCCACTTTATGGAGGAGACTGGGGTGCAGACTCTGGGGCAGACTTCCCTGGGTTGGATCGAGCTCTCAGTTTCTTCATCAGTAAATTGGGGATGATAATCACGCACTCACTTAAAAGGATTTTGCTGAGGACCAATGGGTTTTTATAGCCAGAGTGCTTGGGAGACCCTCGCTTGCCAGGAAGTGTTTGTTCTTGTTCCAGAGGAGGAATCAGAGGCTTGTGGAGGCTGGGAGCCCTGCCCAGGGCCACACCACCAGGAAGCGGCAGGGGCAGGATTTAAACCCAGGTCCTGTGACTCCAGAGCTCTCATGTCTCACAGCCTCTCTGCTGGAAGAAAGGTGAGTCCTTTTGCTTTGAATCGTGCTGGGGGCAGAAGTCTGCCTTCGCTCGGCTCTGCTGTCTGACCTGTCTCTCAAATCAACAGCAATCTTTGCAGCTGAGCCTTTGTAAAGGCTGCAAGAATCCCACGTTCCAGCCATCCCTCTGCCCCTCAGCAAAGCACTTGGAACACACAAAGCTCTGCTCTCAGGGTCTCCTGGCTCTGCCACTCCCTCAGCTGGGCTGCTCTGGGTGAGTCACTGGGCCTCGGTTCCCTCTTCGTACAGATATGTGCTCCAGCCTTGGGTGTAGCAGAAAAGGACTTCACGGACACACGTCACCTCGCTTCACCCTCACACAACTTCCAGAAGAGATGATCACCTCTGCTTTGCTGGGGAGGAAACCGAGGTGCAGGGCAGGGGAATGACCGCGGCCGCCCAGCAAGGAAGCAGCCTGGCTCAGGCTCAGGCTCGGGACGCGACTGGTTCACGTCTCACAGGCCCTTCCAGGCTTCACTCCGCCGCGTCCGACAGCCTACCTGCAGCGACGTCACCGTGGACAGGTCCTTGAGTTTCCCCTCCTCATCCTTCAGGTTGTAACCCTCGGGCCTCTTGTCACGCTCGGTGATCTTCCACAGTTTGATGGTTTTATCTTTAAATACAGAACAGAATGAACAAAACACGTGATTAACAACAGCCCGGAGAACCGAGCACCCACTCGCATCCACTGGATGAGGGGGTCTCAATCCACAGCTGACCCAACCCACATCCTGTTCCTGGACACGCAGGTTCTTTCTAATCTAACTCCTTCTGCCAAGTGATGCAACGAACGTCCCTGCAAATGGAGCATTTGTCCTCATGTCTGTCTCCTCACAATTGATCCCAAAGGTAGAACTGCCGGGTCAAAGGATATGACCCTTTCACAGGCAGTTATCAGCCTGTCACCTGAGTTCCATGAAGACTGTCCTAATGAAGCAGCCTGCTTGCTCAGCGCTTCGCTGGCAGACAAAAGAAGGCAACCCATTTCCTATTTCTGACAAGCATTCCCGCCCATCCAGAACTCAGCTAGCTCTCCAGGGGCCTCACTTCTCTGGAATCCCACTGAGAACATCAAAAGAGTAATCTTTAGTGGCTGCAATGGTTAATTTGGGGTGTCAACCTGGCTAAGCCACACTCCCCAGATATTTGGTCAAACATGTAGATGCAGAGAAAAAAATGTGACAATGAGTGTGTACATGTCCATGAATGACTGAAAAATTGTGCTGAACACTGGAATTTGACACAACACTGTAAAATGATTATGAATCAATAAAAAATGTTAAAAAAAAACATGTGTAGATGTTACCCAGCAGCTATTTTTTTAGATGCGATTAACATTTAAATCCAGAGAGTAAAGCAGATTATCTTCCAGAATGTGGGTGGGCCTCCTCCAATCAGTTGAGGGCTTTAGGGAAAAAAGACTGAGGTCCCCAAGGAAGAGGGAGCTTGGCCAGCGGACATTTCAGACTCGACTGCCGCATCAGCTCTTCCCTGGGTCTCCAGCCCACCCTGCAGGTTGTGGACTTGCCAGGCCCCGCAGCCACGTGGCCCAACGCCTTAAAATAAACCTCTGTCTATATACATCTGTGTCTATGTTTACAGCCATCTCTCTGTCCACACACACACACGCACGTATCCTATGAGCTCTTTTTCTCCAGAGAAACTTGACTAGCACAGCAGCCAAAACAAACACCGTCACCTTCCTGAGAAGGAAGGGGAGAAAATGACATCAATTAAACACTTGGTAGGTGCCCAGGGACAGGCCACCATGAGAGCGTGGAGCTGGGATTCAGAGCCGAGGGCGGGAAACTTTGTGGATGGGGGTGTTAGGGAGTTTCCGAAGCGGCCTTTCCTCCAAAGAGGCAGCACGAACGACACTCTCTATGGGGTGGCGGGAGAGGAAAGCAGCGCGTGACAGGCTCAGGTGCCTGCCTGCTCTAAGCCGTCTCCCTCACCCTCTCAGTAACCCCACGGGGCAGCCCAGCCAGCACGGTTCACAAGAGGAAGTGGCAGGGCCAGGGTGTGAACGCAGTCAGAGCTTCTGCCCTCAGGGGCCTGTCCTTGGGGCGGGGGTGTCACCTCTCACTGCCTGTGTTCCAGCACAGGGAAGGGCCCCTCTGGCTCCAAGACAGGGGCTTCCTGAGCCTAACCCTGTGCCAGGCATCCCTAAGGGGACACAGATCCTGTCCTTGGCACAGAAGCACCCAACCTGAATGGCAGGAGCCCCTGAGGGCAAGCCTGGGGTCAAGAGGGGTGGGAATGCACAAGGGAGGGACACCTGGCTTGGCTGACAGTGAAGTCTCAGTGCGAGGTGACACCCAGTGGAGGCTTAAGGGAGGAGGAGTCGGTTGGCCAGGTGGGAGTGGAGAGAGCTGGCCTTTGGGCGTGGAGGTGGCTAGTGGGACTGAGTGTGATCAGTTTCAGGGATGCGGTAAAGGCCGCCTTAAGGAGTCTGAGTCCCTGGGGAGGGCAAGTGGCATCATCTCCTAGGGCTCAGTCACCCTGGAGCAGTGCTGGCTGGTCACGGGGTACTGAGTGGGCGCCACCTCCCTCTACCCTCATCGTAACCCCAGAGGGAGCACAGGTGAGGGAACTGAGGCTCAGAGAAGCAAGGCCACTCCCCAAGGTCCCCGGGCTGGGACAGAATTCAGGCCTGTCCTCCTCCCACCCCCGGCACCTTTGATGATGGGGTGAGAGATGGAGGATTAGTGGGGAGATGTGAACGTGGGAAGCTGGGCCTCTGGTCCCAGGCGCACTGCTGGTGGAGGCAAGATGGCCCAGGAGCCTTGCCCTCCAAGTGGACCACAGTGAAGCGCCGTCTGGCTGGGAGCCTCCTCAGGGGCCTGGCGGGGGTGTGTGCCCTCCCCTGGAGGCAGGTGATGAGTGGCCAGGCAGGCTCCTGAACCAGTGCGCCTCCTGCACCATCCAGCGAGACCCTCCACGCTGGGGTGGTCTGGGGGGTGCGGACGGAGAGGTCAGTGTGCACCAAGTGCTCACTGCGTTCCCTGACCTGGCATCCTTTGTCCACCCCCAAAGAAAAGGATTCACAGAGATGTTCAAGGAGCTGCTATTTACAGCAGCGGGAAAAAGCCCGCAACCATCCACAGGAAAAGGCGGGGCGAGCACATTCACTGCATGGAACTGACATGCTGCTCAAAATATTATCGTTCAAAAGACCTAGAAAATGTTCACCCCATGAGTGAGGTGAGAAATAGCATTTGATAACAAATCGCTATAACACACAAATGTGCACACGCTCATGCGCACACACGTACACGGACATGTACAATGCACACACGCATGTGCACACACATAAACACATGCACACACGGGTGTAACATGCACACACGTGCATACAACGCACACACACAACACATGCTCATGTGCACACACATACAACACATGCGCGCGCACATGCTCATGTGCACGCATACACACACGCGCGCGCGCACGCACACCCCCCCCCCAGACCGCCCGCCGCCTCACCGTTGGTGGACAGCAGGGAGTGGGCGGCATTCTGCTGCGGGAGCCACTTGATCTTGTTGATTTTCTCCTCTATCTCCAGGCTCTTGAGATAGTCGAACTCTGGCTCGTGGCTCTGAAAAGTGCTGTAGACGTCATACTCGCCCTGGCTGTGCGGCGCATTCTTACTCTGCAGGGAAACCAGACCAGCAGCCTGAGCTCCAGGACCGCGGGGCGCGTTGGGAGCCAGCTCGGGGACGGGACCGGACTGGTTAAACCTCACAGGGCCCGACACAGCCATGGCGACTGGGCGTCCAATCAAGGGTCCAAAGGAACTCTCTGCTTCTTAAGTGGCCAATACCTTGCTGTGCAGCCATGGCCCAGCCCTGTCACCTCCTTGTAAGAGTCCGATAAGGAGGAACAAGGTCAACTCTACCAGCTCCCATTTACTGACCACCTACTGTGTGCAGGACACTGAGCCAAGTGCTTCTCACGCCTCCTCTTGTTCCATCCTTGACGCCCCTCTGTGATGGGGAGCATGACTCCCCCATTTTACAGATGAACAAGTGGAGGCTCAGAGATGAATCGACCCCCAAGACCACAAGTCCACTAAATGTTGCCACTCACTCCACTGAGGTCTGTCTGGCACTGAGTCCGAGGCTCTGACCTCCTTGCACTTCCTTGGGTCCAACTCAGGCCTGACTCGAGGAATGAATGCATTTGGAGCAGATTTAACGTTGGGGCAGAACACCCTGCGACGTCAGACAGACTGGAATAGAATATCGCCCCCCGACTTTCCTCAGCGGGTTCCATCCCGGTTTAGGCAGCTGAGTTTGTTGTGATAAGAACCTCCTGGTGGAGCACTCAAAATAGTGAGGAGGTGAGCCCGTCGCGGGCACCAGGGGCCACTGCCCAGCAGACAGCTCAAGATTATGTGACGACAAGAAACTATGACTATGACTGCCTGGAGCAAAACACAGACAGTCGACCAGGCACAATTTCAAGTTCCTGTTAAAATTTCAAAAGTATCTGTTTCTGTATTTCCGTATCTGTTTTACTTTTGGAAAGCTTTAAAGTTCTTCAATATTTTCCCCTCTAATTCTACCCATAAACACTGGCTGTGGCAAAGGTCCATGGGAAAATTACGGGTTTAAGGAAAAAAATTAAAGGAGAAAAATTCAAGACGGAGAAACTTGCATCGACTGATTTCACTTTTTTTGGTGCATTTTGACTGAAAGAAGATGTGGCTTTGGTAAAACCCGGTTTTGGACTGTCTGCTTTCTGGCTCTGTGTTCTCAGCAAGCCGTTTCAAACCCTCTGAGCTCTAGTCTCCTCATATGCAAACTGAGGATGATAACAGCATTTATAGCACCACTAGGGTTGTCGTGAGGGGGTTACAGCTGCGAACACAGGCAGTCAGGCCTCAGGGGGGTGTCAGCTGTGGGGACCACGCTGAGGAACTGGAGGCGGGGAATGATTCTGCCACTCCCCCCACCTTCTTCATCCTTCCCTCCTGCCCTCTCTTAACCTTCTCTTCCTCATCCCATTCCCCCCACCCCTCCCCACCCCTCCCCACCCCCCATGTCTTCAGCATCTAACCCCAGCCCATGTCTGAGGCAGGGAGGTGTGTGAGCAGCAGTGTGCATCCAGCTTTAGTTTCACTCCTTGGTCTTTGCTCACTAGCTGGGAGTATCTGTAAGTGGGATGTCGGTCCGTACCCTCAGCACTGGGCAATGAGGACTGGGAAAAGCATGTGGAGAGAGCAGTAAGCTGTCTACACATAGTAGGTGCTCAACAAATAGGACCTTTTAATCTCCAGGTTCTTCCAGTGGTTCAGAAACAGCGCCTCTGGAGCTGTTCTGGGCTGTTCTCGTCTTATAGGGAATTCTGCAGGACAACAGACCTGACGGGGGCAAAGCCAGGACCAAGCAAAACCACCCACTCGGGCCAGAGGGCCCACCCACAGGTGCAGAAGGGCCCATCCCCCCTTTACCCTGCTCTGGCTGGCACAGCCCCGGCTCACCCAGGCAGAGGGCAGTTTACTTGGGTGGGGGGGTCTGTTTCTCAGGGGTCTAGGATGCAGTGAGCAATCACCAAACATCCACTCAGCAGAGGGGGCTCAGAACATCTCCCCCAGATGTGCCCTGCAGGGTCCCACCCTTGCACGCCAGCTCAGGCACCATGGTGGGGTACGGAGCAGCACCCTGCGGGTTAAAGCCCGGGTTGAGTGTAGCTGCCTCCCACCAGGCCCTGCCGCACCTCCGGTTCCCGCTGGAAGATGACGACCCGGCCACCCTTGTCACCGGTGGCCAGCAGCTCTCCAGTGTGGTTGAACTCGACGGTAGAGATGATATCGGCTGTGGGGGACAGAGACAGGAAGGTGCGACTCATTAGGACCCAGTACTGTGCAGCTGGACAGAACTGCTCCCGCCGTCCCCAGGGCCCCACACCCCTGGGCTGGGCTGCAGGAGCCCGAGGGGCCGGGAGCACTGTCGAGGGGTCCCACCGCCCGCCCCACCCCCCACCTGTTGGCTGCGGGAGAGAGACTGTGGGTGGGTCTTTCCTTCCTTCTTCCTTCCCTTCCAGAAGCAGTTTGGGGGCTTCCTTATGTGCAGATCAGGGGCCTGGGATGCAAATCTGACACTCACCCGCCTGACTCTGGTGGCCACAGAGGCCGACTCTACCCCTCCCTGCCCCCCACCGAGTTGCACATGGACAGGACCCTTGACACCCCTGGCCTGGACTCTGTAGTCACCGAAATCTCTGGTCAGCCTTTAACACAGCGGCTCTCCTTTCAGGTAAACCGCAGACCTGACTACTCCTCTCGGCAGCCCCAGGTGGACACTAAGGTGGCCCCTGAGCTGGTGCCCACCCCACACTGTGCTCTCCTTGTAACCGCCAGGCTGATGGTCCGCCTCCCGAGTCACGGGGTGTTTCTGCTCCAAGTCCCCTCCTTTGCATTCTTCTCTGTCTCGGGTGATGGAAGTTCCTTCCTCCCACTGGCTCAGGCCTGAGCCTTGGGGCCACCTTGGGGTCTCCCTCTCACTCTCCACATCCAGCCCTACTGGCCCAGCCTTCCAGATACATCCAGATTCCAATCACTTCTCCCTCCTCTTGCCTGGATGGCTGTGACAGCCTCCTATCGCATCTCCCCCATTTCTCCCAGCCTGGACACAAGCTGGTCTAGAAGAGCAGCCAGAAGGAGCCCCCTCGGAGCCCTCCAGGGGTTCCCTGAGGATACTCAGAGTGTCAAAGCCTTGAGTGACCTGCAGCCCCCCAAAACAGGCCACATCAGGAGCCCAAATCTTCAGTCCTCTCCTGCACCCGCACCTGGCACCTGGCACTGCTTCCCACCCTGGGCCGGGGACCACGCCCTGTGACTTGCTTTGGCCTGTGGGATGCCAGCAGACAAGCCATGGTCCTGCGCCTCTTCCACTGCCCAGAGGAGGATCTCCAGGGGCCAGCCTGTGCCCCTATCCCCAGCCCAAGAGGGAGGGAGGGCGGAGGGCCGACTGTGTACCAGCTCACTGAGTCCAACCAAGTCCAGATCAGCGGGATCGGCAGATGTGTGGTAAGAAATGCTTACTGTTGAATGCCCCGTGTTTTAAGTCAGTGGAGGGTAACGGAGCCCCTGTCTCCCCCCAGTCCCCGCCTCTCACTTCTCCTGGCCTTGGTCTTCCACTCCCAACTCTGGGCTCCTTGCTGTCACCAAAAATGCCAGCTACCACTTGTCTCAAGACCTGTTCCCTCAGCCTCCAGTGGCTTTCCCACTCCTGTTCCATACAGGCCTTTTCCTTTTCCAGTCAAGTTCCTTTCAGACAGCCCCTGACCTGCAAGGGCCCTCTGAGCCACAGGTCACTGCCAGCTCAGACAGCAAAAGGAAAGAGGAGGGAGGGAGGGTGGTTCAGAAGCGGGATGACACACAGGACCTACTCACTGATCAGGATAAAAGTGCGTTTCATTAAACTGCAGAGGACAAGGCAAGGAAAGGCGCTCTTTGGGACCACGGAGATGCTCCCTGAATGTGGAATCGGGAAAAGCCTCAGGCCTTGGCTGCCCAACACTGTCCCTCCTGGGCAGCCTCCCTGGCCCAGGGACACAGGAGGGCCAGAGCCGGGGGCACAGCCCAGCGGTGCCGCATTCCCGCATGTGGCACTGGTCTTTCTCCCCATTTCATATCAGCACCCCCTTAGGGGGGAAGAGCAGGATATAAAACTGAGTACAGAATGTTTTTAATTATATAGACCAGTGATCACAGCCGTGTTAAATTGCAAATAAACTGGGCAGAGGGAAAGCAAGCTGCAAGAGAATTTTCTACCATGTTAAACAGAGGTGGCTTCAGGGTGGTTGAAAGAAAATATTTTTTTCCTCCTCTTCCTACATTTTTAGGTTTTCTAGATTTTCTGTAATGAATGTAGGTTTTAATAGCTTTATCGAGGTGTGATGGATATATGTGAAAATGCACACATATAATGTATGCAGTTTAATGAGTTTGGACATATGCATAATATACATTATTTTTATGACGGAGAAATAACAATGCTTTTAAATTAAAATGCCAATGTAACCATTGGTACCCAGAGCAAATGTGGTCCGTAAATGCTGGGCAGTTACCACAGTAACGGACACTAACGTCTGCAGGCAATTACAATTTCTGTGTCAGTTTTATATCCATTGCCTCCTTTGAACCTCACGCCAGCCCCTCAGGGAGATATGGCTATTATTTCTATCGGCAGCTAAGAAGATGGATGGAAGCCCATCCACAGTGACAGTTCCCAGAGCTGTTCATGGACCAGTCAGAAGTCCTAGGTTGGAGTCTTGGGTCCAACGTCTCGGCGTGTGGCCTTTGGTTCGTCACACCACTTCTCTGAGACTCAGTTTTGTCATCTGGAGCGTGGCTATAGTAGAGTCTGCCCGGGATTAGAAACTCAAGAGAGACGCTGGAGGTGAGAGGGCTTGGGAGAGAGGAAGGACCGTGACACTAAGGAGTGATGAATGACCAAAATGTACCAGGCAGAAAGTCAAAGCTCTTCCCCATCTTTGTTTCTGACCCCCACAGAAATCGCAGTGGCCAGCTCAGAAATGTGCCAGATAAATCTGAGATTCAACCTCACTGTCCAGATTTGGGAGTCCTGACAACCAGCCTCTCTGGTCTCATTCTGCAAACATTTACAGAGCAACTACCAAACCTGACGCCAGGACACTGCTTCCTCAGGCTCAGGAAGGGGCTGGTGGATGTGTAACATCTATTCATCGATACAGTAAGTGTCTTCTAGGGTTTGCCTCAGGAAAACTGATCTCCCCTAAGAGCTGGAAATTCTCATTGGTAAAACCACAAAATTGGAAAGTCCATCCTCTCATTTTGGATGTTTGACACATCCCAGCCCCAATGCCACCTCCCCCGGGAGCCCTCTTGGAAAGACCTCCTTCTGCCGCCCCCCTGCCCCTGGCTGTACAGTGGTCTCTCCTACAACTATGGTCTCATGCCCACTATGTGCCTCTCACCGGATGGCAGACACTGCTGGGGAGACAACAGTTGGAAGAAGAGGCAGCACTGGGTGAGTTTCCCATTTTCATGGCTTTTGGCCTGAGGACAGGTGCCAGTCTGTGCTATGTGGTTGCTGAAACTCAGATAGAAAGTCACATCGGTAGGCTCGATAAACCAGAAGAGAGAATCTGGGAAAATCCTAGTAGCTGGAAAATGAGGTAGTTAATCCCAGAAACTGAGTCTACAGAAGAGCCCCCAAAGGCAGCACATAAACTCTACCTGAACCTTCAGCTGGCTACAAACTGCACACGCACACAACAGACTCCATGCAGAGGTGCTAAGGCTAAAAGAAGTGACCTGGGATCCTGCTGGGATGGAGTTCATAGTTGAGTTCAACCAAGTTAACTGCTTACAAATGTAAAACAAAACAAAAACGCTCTTTGGATGGACAATACAAAATATCTAGCGCCTCTCACAACATCCAAGATATAATCCAAAATTATATGAAAATACACAAGTCAATAGGAAAACATCACCCATACTTAATACAAAGACAATTAAGGAAACAGACCCCGAAGTCTGGATATTGGAATTAGCAAATGAAGACTGTAAAAGTAGCTATTATAACTATGTCCAAGAATATAAAGGAAAATTTGCTCTTACGTCACGAAAAGAAAGGGAATTTCAACCAAGAAATAGAAGCTGTAAAAAATAACTAAATGGACAATCTAGAATGGAAAAACACAATATATGAGAACCACTGAACTGCTTAACAGAAAATTTGAGATGACAGAAGAGTTAGTGAACTTGAAGGTATAGCAATAGAAATTACCACACCTGAAGAACAGAAAGAAAAGAAATTTAAAAAGAAAAAGAACAGATCCTCAGGGATCCGTGGGACAACATCACAAAGTCTAACACACATGTATTTGGAGTTCTAGAAGGAGAGGAGAGAGCACAGTAGAAGAAACAATGGCTGAATTATGCCCAATATGGTAAAAGACTTCCATTTGCAAATTTAGGAAGCTCAGCGAAGTCCAAGCAGGACAAATACCAAGAAAACCACACCTAAACGTCAAACTGCTGGAAGTCAACACAATGGTAAAATTTTGTAGGCAGCGAGAACAAAAACCACATATTATATTGAGGCACCGTGACTCAAATAACTGCAAATTTCTCATCAGAAATAACAAGAGTCTAGAAGGCTTTTTAAAGTGCTGAAG